ACCGATAATATCGATGTCGTCGGCATACGCCAGCAATTGTACGCTCTTCGTAAGTATTTACCTAAATAAAAAAAAAATCAAAGCAAATACTTAACACATATGTGTATTACACATGGTATCATGCGTATAGAAAATTACGAATGAAATGCAAATGAATTATTTAAAAAAAAATCCCCGAGCAATAAATGCGTTCGCATATTTATAATTTTTTCCCCATTCCTGTTTGGACAGCAATCGATTTTATTCTCACCACTGCACTTAACTAGTTTATATATATATTTAAAGTATTTATAAAAAATATGTGATATACATTACTATTAACTATAAAAATAAACACAATATTGTGCATAAACACATACATACATATGTAGATCCATTTATGTGTGTATATACATTAATACAGTCACAAATCTTTATGTGTCTGGTTCCACAAGTTTGCTCAATGCTTTAATTGAAATATTTTAATCCAACAATTACCAACATTTTTTTTTTTATTTGCGTAATTCACGAGGTTATTCTTTTCACTTAAAAAACAGGCAAACAATGCAGTAATACCAGAGAATGTTAATTTCTAATGAGAAGGCGCAAATGTTGAGTAACATTTTTGCAAGTACTAATTTGAAGAGCTGAGATGCGGGAGTTCCCCACTGAGATCAAGGAGTTCGCCACACCAATTTGAACTACCATATTCTATGGTGACGTGAGAAATTTGTGGCAAATTTACAAAAATTAGCTGCTTTGGAAATTTAGGCCGAAGAGCAGAAATTCGAATAATTTTGAATAAATAAATAAATGTAAACTAATACTTTATTTAACATTTTTTATGCAACGAAGTAAAAGGGTTGAAATAAAATTATGTATGTATGTAGAAATTTCGGAGAAACTTAGAAAAAACTTACGTGGAACTTTTCTTATATGAATTATGTATGTATGTATTATTACACCGTGCGACAGTAAATTTTACACACAAAAAGATGAATATATAGTTTTTCTCTCTGACATCAGGATGTTTTTTTTTAAAGACTTTGAAATGTAAAAAAAATATGATTATTTCAGAAAATTATGTAAAAAATTCAGTGCAGTGTAGGATAACAACGAGGATATCATATTCGGTAGAACTCTAACAGAACAAAATTTTTTGGTGCATAAGGTGCAGTATTTAAAAGTGACAACAAGAAAAAAATTACCAATCATAGACCAATTTCTAAATTATCCACGGTCTTAAAATTATTTGAACTTATTTTGAAAGAAAAAAATTTTTCAGTTAATCGCCCAATCTCCGTTGATCAGCATGAATTCATGAAAGGTAGATCAACTGTCTCAAACCTTGCAGTATTTTCTGAATACTGTATGTCTGCTTTCCAAAACCTTGTCCAAGTTGATGCTATGTACACAGAGACTTCTCAGAAGCATTTGACAAGGTTAGCCACACAATTTTAATTTCCAAATTGAGGGCTTGAGGATTTCACTCCACCCTTTTTTTAAATGGTTTAAGTCCTATCTCTCCTCTCGGAAATGTGTCGTTAATGTCAATGGTGTGTCATCAGCCTCTTTCATTGCGTACTCTGATGTTCTCCAGGGAAGTACCCAGTATGGTCCTGTACTCTTTATAATTTTTGTTAACTACTCTGTAAATCTTCAATCTGATTTGGATAACGTCGATTCTTGGTGCAAAATAAATAAGTTATGATTAAATATAAGCAAGTGTTTTCATGTCTCTTATTCTAAATCTTGTTCTTCTATTCCTACCTCCTATCACATTGATGGGTATAGGTTATCCAATCCGAGTGAAATTATTGATCTTGGTGTGGTATTCGACTTCAGATTCTCCTTTCAAAGTCATTTAAACTACACTATTGCTAAGTCGTATGCTGTACTAGTTTTTTGTTCGACGTTTCAGCTCAGACTTTACGGATCCCTATACTCTAAAGGTGTTATATACTTCGCTTGTGCGTTCTAAGCTAGAATTTGCTACTTTTATATGGAGACCATATTATGCATGTCATATTAGTAGGCTCGAGCGTGTCCAAAAAGTCTTTATCCGCTATGCTTTACGTTCGCTGAAATTTTCTTAGCCAATTCCATCTAACAGAGGTCGGTGCATGCTAATTAACCTAAAATCGTTAGAAAGTAGAAGGACTATTCTCTCTCTCTCACTTTCGCTTCACCTCTTAATGGTCTTGACTTTTCTGACACAAAATACTATTTTGAAATGTTATTAAATGAATTATTTAATTAGTCTTAAGTGCTCTCTAATTTTCTTTATTTGTAATCTGTAAGAACTGTTACACTTTTCTAGATTAAAACGAATAAATAAATAAATAAATATGTATTGATGGTGGCTTCTTCAAATGTTGAAACTCAACTCGAATCTCTTGATAACGCTCTCTGAAAGACATCCAAGTAAATATAGACTACTATTTCCGTAAAAAATCCCCGAGTGAAACTTTTTTTAGGAAGCCCCAAAAAACACTTGTTCAGATGAAAAAAGTTGATAAGAGCACAGGCATAATCTATTATTATTTTTATTTTACCTGTTTATTCCCATTAGTAATGGAAATTATAACGGTCGATATCCCCACAGATGCATTCGAAGGGCAAGACTCTTGTACAACTTATGTATATGTGCCCAAGCCTTGAGGGGCAAACGCTAACGACATACGTATGTATCATTTTTATCCACCACAATGCCACACAGTCCTCGGCGCGCTTTAAACTTTTACCTTAACTTGGATGAAGTAACGTCAAATATGTATTACTCTTAACCCCCTAAAATCATACAGTCCTCGAAACGATACGAGATCTTGACTTGGGTTGGGTTAAGCCCGTCCATATAATACCCATTGCCCATATCATGAAAATTATGGACTCTAGTAGTCAAAATACTCTTCATAGAGTACTGTATTCTACTAATCAAGCTTTTTTACTTGATACCCATATTAAGGGGGTTGTAGAAAAATGTGTGGCGGTTAAAAAGAGTGAAGAAAATTATATGTGGGCACTAATCCAGACAATCCAGACCTTCGCAAAAACTTGGCTTCATCAACTCCTCAGAAAAGGTAGTCACCATCGCGATTCTCTATTGCAAGTTTACCTTTTAGAACAAATGGAGGAGTAAAACAATAAACAGGAAGCCAGTTGAGCCGCAGCCTTCTGAAAACTTAGCAAATCATCACTTCATTCAGTTATTTAGTTAAAAAAAAACACACTGCTGACAGAAGAGAAATAATACATGTAAGGCATGCATGTAAAAGGCCATTGCCAAAGTGAGGTGTTAAGCAGGGATCACACGATCTGTTCATTTGTACAGAGATGTACATTTTGGGTTTTTTTTTTATGGAGCTTAACTCATTTGCAATACGAATTTCTAGACAACACCACTCTGTAGCTGCTAAAATGTGTAAATCTGCACAAATGTGCAAATCGTGTGATCCCTGCTTAATGGAAAAAAATACAATACAATACATATGCATGGGAAGATATCCGAAGCACTTGGGAGCATTTCTTAAAAAAAAATTTAACTCAATTTGGGTGGCGAAAACTTGCAAAGTGAATATGAAGTAAAGCGCCTACAGGTAAACAAGAATAAGAAAAACTTGACAAGGAGTGGCATCTTTTTCAAGTTCAACAAGAATGACTGCAAAAGGGTGTCATCATTCGATTTGGGCTCCGAAGAGATGCATAAGAATGTCAGCGGAAAAAAACTGTAAAAGGACTTAACCCTTATGGGTACACATAGGTCTGGCCAGACCTATAGCAACTTTAACCAAGTATTTCTCACAGAAATCAAGAAGCTAAATATCTGAGATTTTATGATATCCTCAACAGTTTTATTAGCTACTATTTTCAACATATTTTTTTTTAATTATTTGTTATTTTAGGTTTTAATAAACATTTACTAAATCTATACCTTAACCGTACACATTAGGTCCAGCCAGACCTATGGTGTTGTGAGTATTAAATTATTAACATCGCTGCTTTTAATTCGCGTCTTCTTTGGAAAATAGCGGTAAAAATGCTCACACAAACAATAATTTCTGAAAAACTCTGTCAGTTGCTTTCATTCTGCTACGAAGTGTGGTGACGAAATCAGTGCTAATATTATTTTGTGAGTTTTTTTCGTGAAATTGAAAAGATATAATGTCGGAAAATTTTGAATATTACTCTGCAGCGATGTTGAGCCGGTAAGTAGATAAACATTTTATTTCTTTCTTATAATTGCTATAGGGCACTAAACATTTTTATTTAGTATGTCGGAGGAGCAGCGAACAAACTATTTTGAGCGGCTTGTTGAACATGTGACTTTCACAGATGAGGATGGGAACGAGGACATAGACGGTATACACAATGACGATGAAGATTTTTTTGATGGTGAGTATGCTTCAGATATGGAATCGGAAAATATTTTGGAAGTAGAAAGTGATCCAGAAGACTCTGATGACGACGTTGAGGGCGAAGAACCCAGTGATGTCTCCAACGAAACCGATTGTTTCATAGCTCCCGATGGAACTAAGTGGAGTAAGACTCTTCCGCCATCTAGTCGTGCGCGTAGCCACAATATTTTGAGAGAAGCTGGTGGAACTGTAAAAAGTTCTTTATCTTCAAATTCATTAGAGATATTTAAATCCATAATAACAGAAGAAATGATCACTATAATTATGAGAGAAACTAATCGGAAAGCTTTGAAAGCGGTCGAAAAATTCAATCTCGAAAAAAAACCGAAAAAGCCAAAGAATTGGAAATTGGTTGACCAGACTGAACTATACGCTTATATTGGAATTTTGCTGGCTGCTGGAGTAAACCATTCTAACATGCAGCACTGCACTGAACTGTGGAAACCAGATTCCTTGCCAATCTATAGAGCTGCCATGTCCATACAACGGTTCAAATCTATAACCAGTTTTATAAGATTTGACGATGAAAGAACTCGTGCTTCACGACAGGAGGAAGATAAGGCTGCGCCCATACGTGACCTTTGGACGATGCTAAATAAACAATTGGAGGCATTATATAAGCCAACAGCAAACGTAACTGTTGATGAACAGTTATTCCCATTTAGAGGGCGTACGAAGTTTACACAGTATATACCCTCTAAGCCCGCCAAATATGGCATAAAAATATTTTGGGCATGTGATGCCTCTAATTCATATCCATTGAAGGGTATTTTATACACTGGGAAGGAGCGCAATCAGCCAAGAGATGTGAATCAAGGTGAGCGTATTTTGTTAACTCTCACCAGTAAATATCGCTTTTCTGGAAGAACTGTCATTGCTGATAACTTTTTTACCACACTGAATGGTGTCCATAAATTGAGAGATTCCGGACTGGCTTATGTTGGAACATTACGTCGTAACAAAAGATATATACCTAGGGAAATGTTGGCTAGTAAATCCCGTCCGGTGTTATCAACAGAGTTCGGATTTCACGACAATGTTAGTATTGTATCATATGTCCCAAAAAAAAATAAAAGTGTTTGCTTATTATCTTCAGTGCATCAAGATAACACCACTAGTGGTCAACTGCAAAAACCTGATGCAATTCTTTTTTATAATAAAATGAAATGCGGTGTCGATGTTATGGATCAGATGTTAGGAAAATATACGTGCAAACGTAAAACTCAGCGGTGGCCACTGTCTTTTTTCTACAACATGTTGGATGTGGCTGCACTGGCTGCTTATGTTATAAAAAATCAAATACGGAAAAGTAAAGCAACTGATGCAAGACGTATTTTTCTTAATGAGCGAAATCGCTAGTCAATCGCCAAGTCGAAGCTCGCATGAATAATCCCCATGTCATGAAGGTTTTTTCATCACGGTCAGCCATAGAAGCTTATTTCGGTGCTCCTATTGCTCCTCATGTATGTGCTCCAAGTACTAGTAGCGTATCAAATTTAAAGAGGTCGTGCAAAATATGTTATAGCAACGATAAGTTGCAAAGAAAAACCAGATTCGTTTGTATGAGCTGTTCAGAGCCAGTTTGTTTGCAACATTCGGAGCAGCTCAATAGGTGCCACAAATGTATTAATGCAGAAAATGTATAAAATGTAAAGCTTATATAATTATATTCCAAAATAAAATTAATAAATAGCAATAAAATGTTGATAAACTCACTAAATTATGTGTTTTCACTTATGTGTTTATAAAATTTATATTAGAATCCTTGTAAACTGCCCATAGGTCTGGCCAGACCTAATGTGTACGGAATAAGGTATATGAAACATCCATACCCATAAGGGTTAAAAAGGTTTGCCCTAAGGTTAACACAAAAGGCCCAATTCGTGTAACAAAATGCTGTGCCAAAAAAACCAATGTCTAAGCAATTTGCCTGCTGACTTTTCATTAAAGCTAACAGTTGGGGGTAGCTTGATTAAATTTTTTCTTAGTTTCGGTAGCCATGTTTTTCATATGCAACAGTTATTAAAGTCGTTTGAAAAAAAATTAAAATCCCCCCCCAAATTCATAAAAGATGCAGACCAAAATTATATGCACTTTTTTACTTAATTGAAAGCCCTTACTAATTTTCAAAGCGCACAAATGTCACTAAGTAGAGTGAAAGTATAGAGCGAATGAGCATATTCGCTGCGCCAGCTCTACACAACTTCCAAATGCAAACCGAAAAAAAAAGAAAAAAAATACCAACAACGAAAAGAAGCTAAAGCGTAAATGTTGCAAAAACTTTGCCACACAAAATTAGCTCTTTTCGCTGTGGCATGTAAAACTTCATGAATATTCACGCATTTCCGGCAGAATGCATTTCATTCAGCGAATTCGGTGCTTAAGTATGCACAAAGGCGTACAATGAAAATGCGCACAAATTAGTGTTACGTATACGCCATGGAGCTGCGCGACGTGCAAAGCGTCGAATCATTGCAGCGCTGCTGCTGCTGCTGGTGGATGCTGATGCNTTGCTGCTGCTGGTGGATGCTGATGCTGCTGCTGACGATGATGATGTTGCGAGTCTTTGACGTTGATGCACGCACAACTGCCGCTTTGAATTGTGTTACATAAAATTCGTTGCTGCTATTACAAAGCCAGGCGTTGGCAAATGATTAATGCTAATTTCCGCTCATCGTGTAATCACAGCGTGTTGCAATTAAGATTTTGTAAATAATGAGATGCATGAAATATTTGATGAAATTTGTTAATTGGAAGTGTAAGGCAAAAGTTTGAAGTATTTGTGCGGTTTTGGAAATTCTTTAGAAGATAGCCGTGTGCTGTGGTTCTACATAGCGGAATGATTATTTAGCGTTTTACTCTGTTAGAACTGCCAACATTATCTCCTTTGTATCTTAGAGAAGAATTCTTCCGATCTCCATTTTGATCATTAACCGCACATGCAACGGATGAAGCCACTTAAAGACATCCAGGAAGCAATGCCTCTCCTCATGGCAGAGTCATTTGCCCCAACAGAATATGAATGACATTGAAAATATGGGTCAGACATGAGTAATGTTCCTCACCAAGATCCTCAACTCAACGATTGTCACTCCCGTCAATCCAAAGCTGTGAAAATCAGGTAGCTTGTCCCACTACTGAAGCCAGGAAAACCTGCTAACCAACCACAGTAGGGATGACTTTTCAAGCTTTGTTACATGTGGTTCGTATCACTAAACACAAGCGCACATCACCAGCAAAAACCGCAGTACCACAGATAACTCGCGGCCTTATTCAAACCCGTTTTTTAGGTACAACCGTCTAAGTCAACTGTCCACTTGTCAAAAAATTTCGAGCGTTTCGTCGTGGAGGCTGAATTTTGCGAAGGTGGCGCTAAAGATTCCTTACTTTTCCACGATTTTTATATCATGGCGGGGGAACCGCTCGAATTTTTTCTTCAAGCGCTCATAAAAGAGTTCCTTGGACGCCTCGTCCTTCTCTTCCGTCGGAGTGTGGGCGCAATTGAGTGACATGTTGACGAAACTCGCTTTGAATCGAATTGCGGCTAGACGCTCGGCTACCGGCGATAGGGTGAGTCCTTCTACCATCAAAAATCCTACATCGAATTTGCGCCCCTTTACATGGCTACTGTAGTAGACATCGCAAGGCCTTTTCCCGTCTAAGCATTTCTTGGATGGCGTTCATGCCAGTCTTTGTCCTCTCGAGCACATCAACTGGCCGGGCAGAGGCATCTTCTTTATTTAAGTGCATTCCCTGAAGTCATAGTGATTTATACGCCTGTCATTGCCGTCATCAAAGGAAGGGGTCTCATCCGAGCCACGTTTATTGTTTTAATTCGGCGGGAATTTAACGTGAGGTTTTACGCCTTCTCATTTTAGCTCGCTCTCAAACGGGTGTCCGGTCGCTACCCAAAGGAATCGTAGATATAAATATGTGGAAGTCGTGAGCTGCGACTGAACCGTAGGCAAAATAATCACTTCTGGCAACTACTAGGTGAATGCCAGTCAAAATCTCTACTTGTAGACTTTTGCGCACGGAACGATCCTCCGTATTCATTCGCCAATAGATATTTATAAAATAATTTAGAAAAAACATGTTATTGTGTGCGAAAAAATTAGTAATGCTCTAAGTGTGCTTTATACCTGTGTATATTCACATTCATCTTTTAGGGACTCCTTTCTACTGCGTGATGATATACATACATACATCATTGACATCCCAACGCATTGCTTTCAAATAAAAATTCTGGTAATTCCTTAAATTTATCTTTTATTTTAAAATCTTTGTGATATTAAATTTTTTTCTTTTACAACAAAAGCATAAACTTCTGCAGACAAACTTCAATACCTCTGTATGCACGAATTTATACGCTATTAAAATACAACCAAAAATTTGAACATTCTTACATACACATAACGTATTGTTTAACTTATGTTTGACATACATATGTGCATGCTTAAATGCATGTATGTAGCGATAAATATGTACACATGTATATTGGTACAAGCATACCTCAACTGTAGATGCTCGTACAAACTCATGTGAATATTTTATTATTACATATACATGTACATATGTGTGTTCATTAGGATGGAACAAAAATACGCAGAAAAACCTAACTTTTTGAGCTTTCTGCTACTACCTACAGAGTTGTAGAAAATAAAACTAAACAGAAATCCGCATTTTCTTATTTTGAAGTAGGTTAATAATCTTATGGTGCCGCTAGGTCTTTGCAGTTTATTCGTAGAATTGCTATTGCATCGTTAAAAAGAAATATTTCTTGGTCGAATAAGAATATTTCCCTTCAAGAGGTAACATTATGACGCTATTCATCTTTAAAATTATTTTAATATTTAATTTCAAAACGGACAAGGTTATCTCGTATGTATAAAAATTTGTCATTTTATTTTTTAAATATGGACTAAATTTTTTTTTAAGATTTCCAATAAGAAATATTCTTATTCGATAAAAGAATTTTCGTTTTCAACAATTTTATAGGAATTTTTTCAATCAACGAATTTTTTTCTTATAAAATACGCGGACAACCTAAAAGCTCTGGCAATTTGAAATGTTAATCAATTTCAAAATAGAAAAGTACTCTTTAGTTGTTACCACCCTAATATGCATATAGCTACATATCTACAGAACATCTATATGTACATTTCAACTTTCGTTGCATGTTTTAATGCCACAAATTGACTTGCAACCGTTCCAGTGGTGGTACGCAGAAAAGCTTTTAGCGCGCAAGACGCGTTGCCATCTCAAGGGTATCGAAAGTAGCATTTCCCTTTCGCTATGCTGCCAACCATCATCGCCAGCACCGTCGATATGAACTTTCGAATAATTTTTGTTGGCTTGTCTGATTTGCTATTGTGCCATATTGTACACTTTGCTCTTCTTCACAAAATCGTATCTCCTTGGACTTTTGCTTTCTCATCGGTTTATATTTGAGTTCAAACTCAATTTGAAGTCCATTAAAATTTTCGTTTAGCTTTTATTGATTTTATTTATGTATATGTAGGCATGCGAAAATTTCTTCACTTGCCAACATGAGTTCCTTAAGTTAAGGAGAAATTGTTATTCGGTTTTTTCTTCTTCGAAGGAGCGGTGAGCCACTCTATTCTATTCTCAAAAATATAGAATATCCAGTATGAAATATATTTATTATAATACGCAATAATATATATGCATGACTAAGTAGTATTCGCCGCTTAATAATAATAGTAATAATAATAGAATTGCGCTTACACATTGATATGCTAGTGTTTGGTCGAGCTTCTCCTTTACCTTTAATTATCAATTAAAAAATATACATAA